ACCAGTACAATCTACAGCCTTTACCTGACCCTGGATCAGACTGCATGGAAGAAATGCTGTCATTGAGCTTTGGTATTTTGTTTATACAGGTTGGGATGAGATAAAAACAAAAACATCAGGCACAAGATGTGAACACAAAGAGTACACTTGAGGTTATCTGGTGTCTTATTTTCATAAACTATAACCAGATGGAGCAGATAATTACACTATGGTATCTGAAAGTACATAAAGAAATATTATTTAATAAATGTCTGTTTTTTAACCTTCAGGTGGAAGACATGGGAATTTAGTTTGAGGCTCATTAGACTTGTGAGGTGGCTATTTACAGGCACTGACATGAAAGGAGTGGAAAGATAACTTTCAGCACCGTGCTTGATCGAACTTTGTCGATACTCTCCTAGAGACCGCACACAAAATGTGATGTGAGAAAACTTGTTTGGCCTTCATGTGTTTGCCATGACTACTTTTTTCAGTTAGCATTCAAGACTCTAGCAGTCATTGACCGTATTCGATAACGTCTAAAGAAAACACTACTTTTATGAACAAATGAACAAGAAGGTCTTAGATGAACATACATTCTGCTATTTCGATGAAACAAAATAAAAATGGGACATCAATAGCAGCAAATAACACATATCACTTATGACTACTACAAATCAAAAAAAGGTATGAGGAAGATGACTATCTCTTTTGTAGCATGTGCACTGAAATTTTTAGACAGACATGACACTGGTAAAGTCATTATGCTGAATTTTTCGTCAACAGGACAGATTGGTTGGGGGTGTAATGTGAAAGGACAGTAGTGCGTCTGGAAGCTTTATGTCTGTGACACAGAATTGGTATCAGGTTGCAAATGCTAATTTCTAGTTCTGTCCTATTTCCTTAATAGAGCCTGGATAAGCATGTGTCTGCCTCCACTGCCTCCAACATGCAAAAGGTAGAAACCTTATTCTCTTGATAAGTGGTGTATAGTGTGTCCATGCTGTGTTTTCTTTATTTCTTTTCTAGTCAGTTCTCACTCTAGAGGTGATTCAGTGCTTAAGCAACAGTTAGAATCACTGGAGTGAAAGTCAGCATGAATATTCAGCTTCATCAGAACCACTCCCACAAATTCCGTAAACTAAACATATCAAATAGAGCAGTCAAGGAGTTAAAAAACTCTGTTGTTCAGAAACTCCTATTGCCCTACAGTTGGTAGCAGCACAATCAAACTTAAAGTACTTCTCAAAAAACAATGCCACTTATCACTGAAAGACTTGAGATGTGTATTTTTACAACTTGTTAAGGTCTGATTAAAGTCCACATTTACGTTCCTCTCCAGACTCTCCTGTCTTTTCTTTTTAAAAGTCTGGTCTCCTTTAAATTGTGGTCTGGCATTTATAGAAACCCAAATAGAAGTTAATGCCATGCTGAAAATTAAAGAAAAGTATACACAGTTACAGTTGTGAATTCCTTCTTCAGATATACAGTATACAGGAATTAGGGTGACGGCAGTAATGTAAGGCAAACATATTAGGGATAGAAGAGCAAAAGAGAATGTGAGAGTGAGTAAAGAGAGGTGCAGTTTTCTTCCTGACTTCTCCTTACTCATTCAAAATTAGACTCTACTTTCATAGCACACACTGGGATGAAATCGAACCATTTAAGGAAGTTCTTTTTCAGTGGTTTTATAAGATAAAACCTTTAAAGGTGTCTGACATTTACTGCTTTTGGTTTATCCATCCATCTATTTTCTAACCGCTTTATCCAATACAGGGTTGCGGAGGAGCTGGAACGTATCCCAGCAAGCATGGGGGAATGGCAGGATATACTGTACCATGAATGGGATGCCTGTCCATCACAGAGCACAGACAGACACAAACAGGCACACACTCACACCAGGGCCAGTTTTACCAGAAATGAATTAACCTACCAGTATGTCTTTGGATTGTGGAGAAAACCCACACAGGCACAGGGAGAACATACAAACTTCATGAAAATTGCACCACAGGACCCCAGCTGCAAAGCTAAGCACTGTGTCATCCTACCAGCCTGTGATTGGTTCATATGAGCAAAATGTTATTATCTATTTTGTTTATATTGAATATTCACACACAGGCACTTCACAGAAATACTGTAACACTAGAATGGACAATATTAGCCTTAAAAAATAGAGATTTTAAATTCTGAACATAAAAATGAGCAAATACATGAAAACTAAATGAAGATAAAAATATTAATTTGCCCATTACACAAAGCTTAGCATGATATGGAAAGCTAACGAATTTCATGACCCTTCATGTTTGTTTCTCAAATTGTCAGACAGACACTGTTAAAACTATCCACACCAAAACAACTGACAGAGCGTTTTACAGAGGAAAAAATTATATACTGTGCAGTACAGTACCACTTATGTAAGTCACTAGACTGTGTTTGTTACAACAGATATTAATATTTCCTATACTTCTAACCAAGCTTGCAATTTATATCTTTTCATATTAGAAACAAATGTCTGCATACAGCGAGGATATTTTTTTTATCCTGCTCTGACACCTTGTGGGCATGTTTTTAAAGACACATTGAGGTTTTATTTGCACTTGATTAATTGTTTGTAAGATTGACAAAACTGCCAGTATCTGGTAAAGGGACACTAAACCCTTACAGTATGTCACCTTTATGTTATCTTTATAAATTCTTGGGAAATTCCTTGACATCATTACTATCAATTTATATCAAGTCTAAATTAAACAAACAATATTTCATGCATTTTAAATAAACCCTTAGAATCTTATTGTATTATTTGTTGAAATATTAAAAGTGCTGGTTTCTTTTGATTATACGCATGTTTATTTATAGTAGTATCAGTATTTTGCATGGTTACTTTTTATAGTTCAGTGACTATACTGAAAGCAAGTCCTGTTGGACAAATTGGTCAGCTAAAATAGTTCATAATATTTCAATGTGGCTAACAAAACACTGCCTTGGCTCCTTAAGTATCGCCATAATTTCATATAGTGTAAAATGAAAAAAATATCATTTACATATAAATTGTAAGGTGTGCAACCATATTCTATAGTTTTAGCAGAGAGAGAAGAGCCCTTGTAAACAAAGTATACTATTAATTCAGATTAAGGTTGCTGCTGATTAAAGGTATTTAATACCTGGCAAATTAAATTCAATATGTCCGTTGTATCCATGCACTGACAGGTCTACTGTATACAACTGTGATGTAATAATGCCTAATCTGGGGACTAGGTTTTGTTCCACAAAGCTGGATAGAGGTATATATATATACAATTTAGCCTATTTATATTCAGAAGTGACATACTGTATATAGTTCTCTAGAAGAAAAAAAGGCAGTTCTTGTGCAAGTGGGGATTTGCATGAAATAGGGAATTATTCCATAGGCAGGAAATAAACCAAACAAGGTTAGTGCCACCCTTTTTAGTGTAATTAATGATACTGCTAATCTAATATTGCAAACATTTGTCAACAGGTGCTGAAACATGAAGCTACAGGAGTCTAAACCTCCACTAGTTTCAATAAAGCACAGCCTCTTTCTTTTATTGTTTTGTTGCTATTCAGGGTTTATGTGTGACTAACAGAATCCCTCCCATCTCATTATAATGGCTGTTGCTAGTAAGAATTGTTGTAAACAGACAGAACTATTCAGTACTGGGTACAGAAAACCAGCTAAGGAAAAACATTCATGATCAAAGCAATATCCCTAATCAGCTGATTATAACAAGGGAGGTAAGATTAAACTTTCTGGATTTAAAATATTTGGACTGACAGAAATAGCACACTGCTATCAGCCTGTATTTGCGTATAGTAATGTCTTGTACAGCTCACATTACTTGGGCATGAACAAGCACTTTCCTTTTATTCTGAGAATATTCTAAAGTTTTGAAGAACATTTTTGGTGTTTTTCTGTTTGGGGAAAAAAAGGAAAAGTAGCTTAATGGCTGCTAAAGGAAACAGGGAAGTAAAGGCCAGTGCAAGTGTGACAGGAGGAAAGAAAAGAGAACAGTTACACTATTCCCAAGGAAACCAAACCACCATGTGTCTGAAGAAAGCCTCCATTGTTACTAAAGGTAAGTACAATGCATCATTATTTGAAGGCTTCAAATCAAAATCAACATGTGGCTATAAATCTCATATCTCTGAAACCATCACAAAAAAGCTGTTAGTACAGATTAAGCTGGAACTGAGGCATTATTGTACTACTGGCTTGATACCAAGTGCAGTATTAGGTGTGGATTACCTTCAGTATGTATATTGCTCATGTATGCATTTACAGTCATCATCACTATTACCATAACTGGTTTTTGTTGCTGTTTTTATGTTATTAATTTGGTGTTCTATTGTTATTCACCCACTTTTACCCAGTGGGAGTCAAGAACATAAAACATTCAGAGAACACGTCAGGGCTGTGAAGATGCTTCAGAGAACACGTCAGGGCTGTGAAGATTAAAGATCTCTCCAAGCCCATTGTTTCTCATTTCACCTCTGACGGCCACGACCACACTAATCTCTCCGTCTGTGTTCTCAAAGACGGTTTTCAGAACTCATACATCAGAAAGACCACCGAAACTAAAATTATTCTGCAGCTAGGATCACACATTCTCCC